CTCTCTAATCGGTCAATCTGTACGATGATCACCTTGTCTATGTAAACGCCTGATGCGATAGATCGAAAAGTAATGGAAGTGTATGCGTGCGTGTAGGAATGTTTAATTGTGACCTTGCCCCACTTGGGTCAAGTGACAAGTCATGTTCTGTCTTGGTTTTCACACCCGGCCAAGGCAATTGGAACGCACGCACCAGTCTTTCTTGGGCACACAGGTTGGATGATGATCGCCTCGGTCTAGGCCAGTGTCCGCCTTCGATCGATTGAGTGAGATTTCAGTTCGAGTGTTCCCTGTTAAACCGTATCAAATTGATTGTCTGGAAACAAGATCAGTGTTGTATTCACATGACTGGCTCCCAACTCGTAATATCGAATCACTACCGATTGTCACTCACTGAGAGTAATCTAAAGTCCTAGATTAAAGCGCGTTGCAACAGACATCCAGCTTGGTTAATTTGTGAGCTTTGAATTGAAATTGAAATACCGTTGAGAAGTAACTGGAGAATAAAATTCGTTTGTGCACAAAATAAGTGATTTTTATACGCTCCCAGGACAACCGGAAGTAGGAAAATTGCAAACCAACTGAATCAAACAATTGAATCGGTGCAACGAAGGAAATCGGAGAAAAGTTGCGTGATTGAGGCTAATAAATCAGACGCACCAAATCCGCCGTGAATGCCTGAAAGCACAAGATGTGTCTATGCTAAATTGGCAGAAAAGACTGATCACAAGCTAAGCAGTGTTCTGAAGAAAAAAACGACTGACAAATCTGCATGCGACCGTAACATCTACATTGAAAATAAGAAATCTAAAGTTTGATTCGAGTTCATGAACAGAATGCTCTCGATTTGAGTGACGAAATGTTTCGAAACCGTTCCAATGAGAAGCAGGATTATAAGTAAGCATGATCAAGAATCCAGGTATATATCGGTGAAAGCGGTAGCGGTGGCGTGTAAAATTTTCAGAACTGGGAAGTAAGAAAAGAGTGTGGTGATTGTACTGTGTGTGATTCAGATGAACCATGACACAGCTTCCAGGACACGGAGATTCAAGCCAATCGGATAAGACCGAGCACGTGCAGTGTGTGAATGGGACCGATAATTTGTGATTTGTGTGCGTTCTTGATTAGATTCGTTTTAAGTGTCTTCGTTTTGTCTTCGTTGGATTTCCAGTCTAAATCACAGTCCACGTTAATTGAGTTTCGGTACCGTACCGAATCTCACAAGAAGTGATGTTAAGGAGATTCCTGGATGACGTGTTGAAAGTACCGTAGAATTGGTAAACCAATATGCATTGCAACTGTTCAAATTGCTTGCTAAATCCCGCATGTAACAGAATAAAATACGATATTCCCTGACGATTCATGGATTGGCAAAATGAAAACAACAATCAGCTAGAAAGCTAATTCATAAATTGGAACCTGTCTAATATTCTGACCATAATTGAGAATCCGTACTGAACGCGGATTGACTTATACTGATGCGTGAATTCCACTCAGACGAGAATGCAGAGAACCGCGCTGGCCGAAATGCGGTAGTTGACAGACGAGTCTCGGACATATGCACACAGGGCAGCAACCTGATTTACGAGAGATGAACCAAACGATTCCGGATAAGCAGTTCAGGACGAGTATGAGGTGCAGATGTGCCCGGGCAAGGAACAAGTGAACTGTAATTGTCAGGAAGATTAAACTCAAAAAAATCTGGTTGAAGAAGTTATGCGTTTGGCGAGAATAGACAAAAGAAAAAAGCCGCAGCTAGGTGAGCCTCCGGCCCGAAATGGTCGATCACTGTATTTCACCACTGACTGTATGACGTTTTTGATTGGTCAGATAGCGTAATCAACCGGGCGGTTTAACGACTCTGATTGGTCAATTGATATCGAACTATCAGAACGCACCGGACGCAATAAAAAAAGAACAAATGCTAACACGTAAGGACGAAACAAAAATCAAGAAACTTTTTTCTCTAATATACTGTCCTGTGCCATTTTGATTGTGTTTTCTTCTTCGGCTCGGAAGTTGGTGGTGCTATAGCAGTCTCAGCAACAGTCAGTACACAACATTAATCTCGTATTGTGAATATTGTTCAGCAATTGCAACTCACAGCAACAGCGGCGGCAACAACAACAACAGTAGCAACAGCAGCCAGAGCAGCAACAACAACAACAGCGGCAACAACAGCTTCGGGCATGGTCGAACTGTCTTACCAAATTGGTATGCGCTCATGGAACTGTGTGTGCAAGAACACTGCTGGAGAATGATTACTTCGACAAAATG